AAGAGTATCTTTTTTTTTATTTTAATTTTTCATTGGCATCATAGACATTTCATACAATTTCGTCTTCCTGATTCCGCTATATCCGTATGGACTATAATCAAAAGAAATCTTCAAGCATTAAAATGTAGTACGCGACAGCATGTCAGCAGTCTAAGTATTTTATGATTGCTTAGAAATTGTATGCATATTTTTAGAAAATAGTTTTGTGTTGTTCTTTTTCTTGTAATTAACAGGTCTTTATAATTTATTTTCTAGACTAAACATTTACAGTATTTCCTGAACTATTTTGTATTCATGAAATATGTTCAGACAACTAAAGCATAGTTTGATATCGCACTGATAGTCTAGATGTAAAATGAAGTCATACTTTTATAAATTCGGAGCAATATAAAGTTTTGCATTTTGTGTATAAACATGTGTTTTAGAAAGAGATGCGAAAGATGACAAAGGGACATTCCAACTCAAACATAAACTGACAACGACATGGCTAACAAATAAAAAGACCAACAAACAAGCAACAGTACTCAAAACACAACATAGAAAACTATAGACTGAACAGAACGAATCCCACAAACACTGGGTTTAATGATAGGTGCTCTAGAAGGGTAAGTCAATCCTGCGACTTATGTGACACCCGTTGTGTTATTCATGTAAAAATCAACCTGGTGATAAGTCTTATACAGTAGGTCACATAGGAGAAAATAGGACGGAATTGTAGTTAAGACATTTGGAACATATCCGTCGTTATTTGTAAAACATATATTCCATAACGGTCAACCAACTCGTGATTGCGCACGTAAGGTTTACTATGGGATGATTTCAACTTCACCACTTGGGACTCTTGATTGAATAGCTTCCTTATGAGCAACAATCCTCTATCAACTTATTCATGATAAGTACTTTTTTAGTAATACAGTCCTGGAATATCGTATCTACTAGGAGATATATACTCTGTATGCAGGCGATGATAGTGATGTTGATTCACCTCTACATGCTTTAAATGTCTAAGAGTCACATGTGAAGGTATTCAAAGTTAAATAGTGTTCTTTCTAAATAAGTTATTATTCTGCAATAAGTATAGATTATAACATGCCCTTTTCCATATTGGCCCTGGTATCATCCCGAGATTCCCATATCGGCCCGAGGCTTTAGTCGAGGGCCGATATGGGTCGAGGGATGATACCAGGGCCAATATGGAAAAGACATGTTATAATCTATTTATCACATATTGAAGTTCTACAGAAAAGAGAAAAAAGTTCAATTATAACAATGTAATGAAACAAAATAGGTAAACTCTTAAAAATTTTATCACAAAATTGTTATCAATTGTCGTTAAGGATGCAATGACGTCACGTCATTTGGAATCAGGGCACAATAACCAATATACTCTTTTTTGCCCCGGACAATTTTGAGGTTATTACATATGCAAAACCCAACCGGTTCGTAAGCATGACATTTAAAAAGTGGTATATGTATATGTCAGACCACGATATGGAAAAAATATAAATGTTTTGAACTGTTGGTAGAAATTCATTGGATGGTTAATCAGAAAAGTGTGTGTTAACCCGTCTTTAAGAAATAATTATCAATGCTTTCCTCTATGAAAAGGGTACCATATGGGATTTAATTTTGCATAGTTTGTTAAAAATGAGCCCGAAAGTAAAACAAAATACAATTAAGCAGTATGCTTGAGTTTCACATTGACAACATATTTGTTTAATTCGAAGGTAGAATTTTCCATCAGGTTGTTGGCATATTTATAGGAGTACCAATCATGGTCGACTTTTTCTTATTTCATATGAGTCGGAATTCCTGTAGACACTTGTACAATACAAGAAAAGCAATCAAAAAAGCTAGATTATTAAATTTCACATACAGGTATAGTGATGATCTTCTTTCCATTAACAATCCAAACTTTCCTGAGTGGGTCCCATTGAATTATCCTCCTGAAATAAAGATTGAAGAAACCACAAATACAGCCTCACTAGCCTCATATCCAAACATTTACCCCTAATTTGACAACAGTGGTCAAAGCAGTACCATTATATATAACAAACTAGACGATTTCCATTTTTTAAATTATACATTTATCTCACCTTAGCAGCCATGTACACGGAAATGGAGTATAAATCTCTCAACTCATACCCTATTCAATAATCAAGCTGCTACTCAGGCTTTGTGAAACGTCATCGATGTCTGATACAACAAAAGAATAGTGAACCAGGATTTTGTAATAGAACGTTTCCTCTTTTTTTTCAAAAAGTTCATCGAAAAGTACCAAGACCTAAAAGATAAATGTTCAGCGTCTACTTCACAAATAATATAAATGGTCTTAAGTTAAAAATTACATGTGCTGAAGTTATATAGCTTTTTCATTCACTCTGCAGTTTTCTTTTGATTTGTCGTCGTCCTAATATGTTTCTTTTGGTCAAATGCATTTTGACGTGACCCGGTATGTATGCATTATGCAATTGATTTTTGTTTTCACTCTAGGCGTTCCTAGTTCAATTGAGTCCTGAAGTGCGACTCGGACAAAAGAGTCCTTTACAGTGCTGTTTCTATTTTGTTTACCCCTAAAATTAAATTCACCATACACCATTACACCATACACCCTGTGCTATGACACCATACATGTTACACCTTTGCACCATACACCTTACACATTACACCATAATGCAATATAATTTAAAAGAAAGCGTGCGACTTCAAAGTTATATAGTTATTTTAAAAAACGAATTTTGATCACAATATTGTAAATTAATGTATAAAACTAAAAATCAGTTCTTATGAATATTTTGCATAGTTTTAAATGTCGTTCACCATTCATTCACACCATTCCCGATCGCACGTTACACCATTACACCATTCCCCTTCCACCTTACACTATAGCACCATACACCTTCTACCATTGCACCATATGCCATACAGTATTACACCATACACGTTTTTTTTTTTGGAAGTTTACACCATCCAAGGGCTGTATAATCAGGTTACACTTCAGGAAAAAACAGATACATTGCAAAACATGTAACTTCCGGTTCATCTGATATCACCAACCATTTAAGAGGTGGTCGTGTTTTGCTTGATTTTTTGGCTTTTTTTTTCTACGTTGCTATTTTGGAGTTTGTTTACGTGTTATGGCTGCGGCTTTTTCTTTCTGTTGCTCATGAGGCATATGCGCGCCACAAAGATGACATTGTATTTAATGTATTACTGAATAAACAAAAAGTAAAATAACAAAAACTCCAAGGAAATTTAAAAAGGAAATTCCCTAATCAAGTGGCAAAATCAAAAGCTCAAACACATCAAACGAATGGAAAACAACTGTCATAGTTTTGACTTGGAACAGGCATTTCCTTATGTAGAAAATGGTGGATTAAACCTGGTCTTATAGCTAGCTAAACTTCTCATTTGCATGACATTCGCATAAAATTCCATTGTATTAACAGCAATGTGTGATCAAAACAAACAGATATATTTGGTAAAAATGTAAAAAATGAGGGTAAAATATTCATCATTGTAATATAATCCTTATCACTATCAAAATAAATAACTATTTCAACAAAGAAAAACAAATTGGCATATAGACACTCCTCACACAAAGTGCATAAGCAAACATGAAAGACAAGGAAAACAAAACTCCTCTTCGATTGTGTGTCGTCAAACAACTTCTGCAATCAGTATTAATATAAAATAGTGAAACATATACCGCCATATGATACAGCATACCTCAGGTATCACGTTATTTCCCAACTGTTCAAAATGGCCGTTATGAGGAGTCAAATCACGGATTTTGAAGAAAAATAACTGAACGCTTGAGACTGTATCGTTCATAATGATCAAGTTTCATTTGACAACTATAGAAAAATAATTAATCAAGAAAATGAAAAAGTTCAACCGGTGAACAAACAAAGCACTCATAATGCAAGTAAAGGTTGAAAAATGTGTTTATGCAGACTAAATTTTATTTAAAAAATGTTTTACACTGTTTTCTTCATTTGGTATCCTACAAAATAATGGAAAATATTACTAATGATTCAACATATGTTCTTATGTAAGTTATCTGACTGTTATACTGACGTCGCTATATATGTTTGTGCACTACTAAACAACGGAGTCATGCATTTCGATAGTGATTTCTTAAATTGTCTGTGTTCAAGGCATCTGTTGGTAACAATAAATTAAAAAAACAGAATGCTGGAAAACATTTTGCTCACATATTCTTATTTGTTACTAACAGAAAAATTGTCCAAACTTAATTTCACCTGACGAAGATGCAACTTAAATTTCTGTTCAATTCAATAACTTTACTAAATATTTGGAAACAAAATATTAACAATTTGTCCTCAGTTTGAACATGCATGTACTATTTGTAATTGGACATTAAACACGCAACAATCAATCAATCAATCAAGCATACAATTTCAATCATAACTTGTTACATTTTTCGAACGAAATTTGCCAGCAACAAAGCATTGGTCGCTAATATGTTCTACGACGGGTATACTGGCGGGTTAGCAAAGACTTATTGCAAAATGTTCATAGATATCGATTCACGTATAAGCAATGTTGTGTTCTTTCGTTTTTTTATGTAAAAGAAAATTCTTTCAAGACAGAAAAGAATGTCAACTAAGTTTTTGATACCTTACTACTTGATCAATTATTGCAATACACATTACAGAGGTACGTCTATTGGTTGTTTAATCAGATCAAAGCAAAAACATCATTTCTTTAGTTGCCTTAACAATCAGGAGGTATCGAAAATACACAAGTGTCTTTTGCTAAAGCCAGTATGTTGATCTCCTGATTGTTAAGGCAACTATGCATGTCGATGAATACTATCGTATTGGTATACTCCCAGTTTTTCTTTATCTATAGTTATAAATAAACACAAAGTATCATTACATAATACGTGACATGTCTTTTCTTTTATGTACAAGAATGTTGGATCTGTGGAGCAGATACTTACAATTAGAATTGTACATACATACCTTTTCTGCTTAATATGACTTTTTTCCTCCGCCGTATCCAACGCCATATCCAACGCCATATTCACCGCCTAATCCGCCGCCTAGTCCACCACTTAATCCTCCTCCTAATCCCCCACCTACTACAACACCTGCTCCACCACCTATTCCTCCGCCTATTCCACCACCTATTCCAGCACCGAGTCTAGCACCATAGCCACCACCATATCAGTAGCTACGGCTGGTTACCCACCATGGGAACCATTGACAACAGGTATTCCATTGAAATGGGAACAATGGTGCTAGTCTGCATTTTTTATCCAAAGTAAGCTCCCATTTACGGCAAAGTTTAGGACGGCAGGTACACCACCAACGACCAGCTGTTATATAATATATGAATGATATTATATATTAACGTTAAGCTCCTCAACGTTTGTATTAGGAACGCTGTCATGTAGCTATTAGATAGCAGTGTATTCCATGAGCTTAAGACTTTATTTTTGAAACGCACCACACTTAACTTTGTTCACTTTATTTCCTAATAAGGAACACAATTGTCGTCGATTGTACATTTAGATTGAAAATGTTAAGTTTATCGTTAGAGTTTACGGGCGCTACCGTAGTTTTGACGATTATTGATTATTTGTTTCTCAGACAACCTTGTTCCCTTGGTAGTAGACATAATTTAATATTTATTTTTGCACGTCCTCCATTTGGCCTCATCACCGCATTTTTGCAACATAAGTTTTATTCATTATCAATTATTGTATGCCCTATATAATAAAAACAAACATCGCAAACATTTGTATATTTCCAGTATTTGATTGCTTAAACTAATTGTAATGATCTTTCATATTTAAGTTGACACATATAACGTAACAAAGCCATTACTAGTTTTCATTGACTAGTTTTAAGCATATGGTTTACTGGTTTGTATGCCGATAACCTGATTCGATCAATTTATACAAATTTGCACCAAATAGTTCTATTCAAAATTCTATTCCAAATAAGTAGAACTAACGCTTGTGAACAATAACATGAAAAATATCCATTAGTTTGAACGATCAATAAAGTTATCTAACATATTTTTTTGTTGTTTTCTTAAAGATATGTTTTGTGATAAAATATTATTAATTTTATAAAATGTTTTAATTTTGAACACAATTATATATCATATGTGGTAAATCTGACAAAAAAATTGAATAAATAAGGGTGTCTAAATCATTTTTGGTGAAATCTTAATGCAATTGTACTCCAAGTTCACAGTATGATTGTTAATGAGACAGCTTTCCACCAAAGTTCAAATTGAAGTAATAAGAGGCAACGGTACGTCTTTCAATAATGAGAAAAAAACCCATTCCGTATAGACGGCAATGAATGGACTCAACAGCAACATATGACAATTCAATTGCAAAGAAACGACCTTTTCAATAAAAAAACAGTCAAAATTATATCAACATAACTGTACAATATCCGTTGCACACTGTATGATATTTTTGTGGCCGTAAAATATGAATAAGAGTCCTATTGGATGCTTCATGTCAGCAAAAATTTAAAAAAAACGAAATTAATACTTAATAAATATGATGCGTTCAAATCACTTTTCGGATGTTTCCCTTCATAAGGAACACATATTTATGAATATGTATAAGCCAAGGATGTATACGAAAACAGTTGATGAGATATATCACCAAACGAGGATTTTAAATTAAAGCCCAAATACATCTAAGTTCAACTTAGCCTGAAAAAGTTATTACCTTAGTTTCTTAATAAATGTCACTTGATTAGCAACACACCGGATCAATTAATTAGACAAATATTAACGTGTACTTACCTCCTCCGACAAAACCTCCATATCCACCGCCACCTCCGATTAAACCACCAACAACACCGCCTCCTCCACTGCCTCCGCCTACAACAATGCCTCCTCCGCCAACTACGCCTCCTCCACCGCCACCAAAAGTAACGACTCCTCCTCCAACTCCGCCTCTACCACCACCATAACCACCGCCATTGCCAACGCTATAACCGCCATATCCGTAGACTGTTCCAACAACGGCTACCAAAAGTATAGTTAAAACTCCCATGGTTGCTTACTTTGGATAAATTCAACCTGCTGTAACAAGCCTTTGAGCACCATTATTTATACCATAAACAATTTGAGAACAAAAAATGATCATGCACTGTAAAAACGGATTGATACATGATGAATAATTGTGTTCTTTTATTTGTTTTTGTGGTTTTAAATTTGATGATTACAGCACTAATATGACAGAGTATTAATTTATTGCCGACACCAAAGAGATGTGTCCCGGTTTTTTTATGATGCAGGATACGATTCATTATATCTAATTGTAAGAAAGAACCGCAAATTGCGTACAATTTAAACAAATTAAACTAGAAAGAGCACACTGTTTTCGACAGAACAACTTTAAATGATTAATTTCATTCGTATTCTATTCAAAGAATATATTAGTTTGGATTTCAATAGAATAACAGATATGTAAGGCACAAAGGAACTGACAATAAATTGATACTCAAAGTGCTTGCTTGCTATTTTCCGGGGATATTTTAACGTTTACTGTTTAACTATATTGTAGAAATTGGAATCAAAAAATGTTTTTGTGGACAACTGGTAAAATGCTACTGACTTTTGATGTCAGATATAATCGAATTGTTGATTTAATCTACATTTACAACAATATATAGTTGTAATTAAAAAAACTGTTAATGGACTTTGTAATATGCGAACATGTACGTACGTAACGGTTCAATTGATATATTTTAATGCAATATATCGAGACCAACGTTCTAGTTATCTTCTAAACAACTTATGTTTACAAGGGGGAAATTGTTATCCTAACTTTTGGCTGTATGATTAGTAGATAGGGATAACAACGAATACAAAAATAAGATAAATGCATTTATTTGACATGAATCGTATAAGGCATTCTTTAAGAAGTTAACAAAAATACTAGATCAGAATTACACTTTGTCATTCGTTTATTATGCTTGAATTATCAAAATCTCTGAATAAAATCGTTAAGAAAAGCGATGGTATCCCCATCATAGCATATATGGCTCAATCCAGAATACCCATATTTTAAAATTGTATACTGTCAATCCTCATTTGAATATTTCTTAACTGAGATTATTTCCTATTGTTTTTAATCGATCGCTACTAATACGTTTTATGTAGACTAGACTTTCTTTGAGGGTATCAAAATATACACTGGCACTCTGATAAGAAGCAACAGCAGTTTGCCAATGTTCTGTTCTCATACTTTCCCACAAGATGCTAATCTAGGTTATTATGTGTTTGACATGCTTTTATGACAAATTTGAAATAAAATCCATATGTTTTCAACAATATGTTGACAACGTTTCCTCATCAATTGTCTTTTGTCTTGTGTTTGTTTAATGTTTGTATCTAATTCTGTTGAACATTTATGTATATCTAAGAATGATAGATTAAAGCAGTTAGTCAAATTTTGTGTTATGTCTTATCGTTTGTGGTTTGAATTCTGCATTTTCGGTACATTTCATATATGTCTTATGTGTCAGTTTAGTCGAGTAAATTTCCGTTTTCCATGGATAAAGTATTATGTTAGTCCAAATAATTATGACGTCGTCACAGCATTTATTTAAAATAGCTTTTCAATACCGTCATTGTCATGATAATTGTTTTGACTAGTATTGTGAAAATAATTGTATGAATTTCAAGATTATATACACGTTACAAAAATACGTCACTGTTTGTGAAGTCCTGTGCTGTTGTAAATGGAAGATGTTCGTTGTTATTCTGTGGTTTACCTGTTGTAACGACTATCATATTATTTTTTTTTTTTGTGCGTTTCTATATGTTGAGTGTTCTTGCGTTTGTTTGTGTTGTATTTCTGTGACGTAGTGTTGTCATTTTAGCGATATATTTAACATTGCCATATAAGCGGGTTTGGCTATCCATAAAACCAGGTTCAACCCACCATTTGTTTTTAAAATGTCCTGCTCCAAGTCAGGAATATGGCAGTTGTTATCAAATAGTTCGTTTCTATGTATGCTGGCGTTTGTTTTTGTTGCATTTCAGTGTTTTTATTGTTCCGTTCTTTTCCTCTTATAGTTTATGTGTTTCCCTTGGTTTTAATTTGCTACCCGGATGTGTTTTCTCTCAATCAATTTATGACTTTTGAACAGCGGTATACTTGTTGCCTTTATTGACTACACGTTTTTTTTTTTTTTTTTTTTTTTTTTGATAAATCAAAGAAAACATGTGTAGGATAAACAAGTCGTTTTTTGCAGTTCCAAGGAAAACATTTTGTTCATTTATATATCTAGATCTGCACTCACAAGTAGTAACAACAGTCACCATCTAGCTTTCGACTGTTAAAAGTTATTTTCAAATACGTTAAGACGTTTTCAGTATACCAGTTGAGTTGCATTCGAGGAAATGAATGATGTCACCTGCCAGTAAAAGCACAAATAATTTTTACAATGTTAACACAACACAGCACGTCAACTATTCTACTAAGGAAGAATATTTTGTAAAGTATATATTATGACATTATGATATGGACTATTAAACAATTGCAAATAAGACATAGAATATAGGAGAAGATACAAAGAGAGGGTAAACAAGCTTAAAGAAAACAACCAACGACAAATCAATACCTTACAAGTTTGAGATTTCTAAAAAGCTGTGGACTTTAAGGTAACATGTGTGCATGTGGTTGTTGATTTATTATTTAAAATGTGGTATTTTTAGATGTTGATTGATATAAAATGGATGTCTAAGACTTGGAATATCCATGTTTGTTTATATATTAATATGATCTTTTCTGAAATTTTAAACTGGCTGTTCGGTGTTAAGTTATCAATGTGTTTTTCTGGAGTGTGGTTTTCTATTTTTTTCAGCTGGTCATTGACTTGCGATTTTGATTGCTAGTTCCGTATATAATTTATTTAGATATATATGAATGTTTAGGTATAGTGATTAAGAGTAACATGATTTCGAGTGATGAAGACAATAACAATCTAAACCCGGGAGTAAACAAAGACTAGTTCAACCGAAAGTTATGTTCACTGTACTTGTTGAAAATTAAAACATTTACAAATAAACACGATTCTGGAGGTGTGTCTCTCTGGAGGTGTGCCTAGATTGGCAGAAGTTATAAGATACAGATAATGCTTTTTTGTAAACATTGTATAGGAACATTGTTTAGCAAAACAAATCGTGCATATTGCAGATTAACAAAGGAAATAAACGTATTAAAAATTGCTATTTCAATATTGAATTTCAGTGTGCTATATATGCATAATTAAACGAACTTGAATTAATGACAGTTGATCGGAACTGAAATACACATAGTTAGTTTTCCGGCATTTGATGTCTTATCATGAGACGAGAAAAGTCTGTAATTCTTTATCTCATTTAAGCCAATAGCTGTTGCTGTATCTCAGCCGCATCATAAAGCAACCAATCATAATCTAATTGTGATAAGTAATTATTTCAAGATGGTGTGTTTATCGACTGATTGCTCCGCACCATGATGCGAAGCAAAAATGAAAGCAACAGAAAGATAAAAAAACAGTTCTAATATATTACACAAGTACACACTTACACAGAACATGAACCATAGAGTACCAAGATAAGGAAAAACCTAGTGTACAAAACAAGACAACAACATATAAGTCCGGTAGAGATTTTAACAAAAACAACACATGTACAATACACATTTTTAATATTATTGATAAGAAGTAATCGATATGTAAGAATGTGCCGAACACTGTTTCCTCTTGGAAACAGAAGTAAAATCTTATTTGTTCTATACGATAATAAGGAACCGTTAAAAGAATGTACTATACATTTGACCAGGTACATACTTCAGAGAAATCCATGCACATTGTGTTGTGAGATTAGTAAACAAACACATATAAAAGAAACCCTTGTCAATACAGTTTATCAGACAATAAGTTTTTAAGTGCTAGTTTTATTCTGGATAAATAACACTGATATGCGAGATCTGCATGCAGAGTTAAGATGGGGGTCAGCAGTATTGATTCATTTGTATACAGATTGTTGGTCTTGTATCAGGATGCAGGGGTGCATATGTATGTGTATATTTGTATGTGTTGTGTTTACAATTATATGAAGACATGTATGTGTGTTGGTAAATATGCGGTGTTGTTGCTCTTATGTTTTGTTTTATTATTTTTTTTCGTTATTTTTTTTTCTTTTATCTAGCATGTTGATTATTATTTAGCATGTGGATTATTATTATTATTATTTGCTTTTCTTTTGTATGTCTTCTCTTTAAAACAAACGATACACAAATTTAAATATTAAAACGTGTAAATCGAAGTACACAAATGAAGTTTTACAGTACTTTTTTTATATATCTTTCAGTTATTACTTTAGCACAACAAATATTTGCTAATTTTATTTATACTAGGATGCTCTCGACAAAAGTTTTTTGGGGGTCGGGGGTAACTCTAAGTAAAAAAATGAAACATTGTGAAAAACCTTTTACATATAGATACCCATGTGTATGTTTTGTTGACGCTGCTTGGATATATTGGGCTTATAGATATTTATGTTTAGTATTATTTAAGCTATTCTTGTTTAACAACCTTATTATATTATGTCGACTATAACTATTGGTAGTGTAAACTGCAGGGGGTTATCAGAAACAGTTAAAAGAATTGATATATTTACAAAATATAAGGACTTATATGATATGATTATATTAGTAGACACCCATAGCACATCTGAAAAAGAAAAACAATGGATGCATGAATGAGGATATGTGGCGAAATTTAGTTCTTATTCTAGTAAAAGTAGAGGGGTAGCTATTCCTTTCAAAAATACTTTTGAATTTAAGATCCATGGGAAACTATAAATTTGTCTGGTAATTTTATTATATTATATATCACCATTCAGGACTACCGTATAACTTTGGCAGCAATATATGGACCAAATCATGATCAACCAGTCTTTTGTTGAGAACATAAAAAACAAAATATCCAACTATGGCAATTCGTCAATTGTAGTTGTTGTAGATTGGAATGTTGTTCGAGATTATGACATGGACAC